GTAGGTCCGGCTGGAGCTGGAGCCGTAACGGCACAGCCACCGAGAGGTCCAGCACTGTGCCAAACCAGTGCTGGTGCAGCCAAGCCGGTGCTATGAGGATCACCTTCTCCGGGTCCTGCTTGATCTTCATGAGGACTCTGAATTAATAGTACTGGAAGGAAGGCATAAAACAGAGCCCCCGACCATGGGAGCAGAAAAGCGTCTGACAGAGAGCCTCTGTCGATCCCCCGAATTGAGCAAAAAAAGTGGCATTTCCTGTTCTGTCTGGACGCAAACAGGTCCACTTGGGGAGTTCCCCACTTGTGGATGATGAAGCTGACCACTTCCAGATGGAGGGACCACTCATGACCAGATGAGAAGGCGCATGATCAGCTTGTCCTTAGATGCTGGGGTCTTAGCAGAGCCTGCTGCCTGGTGCAGCACCTGTGGTGCTGGTTGGCCTACTTGTTCTTTAGCTGCCAGGGCCGCTTCACGCAATGAGGGCCCTGGGAGAGACCGGGGAACCCTGCCGCTCCCTGGAGTCGGATCAGGCTGGGGCAGGTGAGGGTCTGACCTCAGCAGTACCCCCGTGAAGCTCTGGGGCAGGCACATGGCCGGACATCAGTCCTTTGCCCAAAGCCCTTTTTCCTTCTGGTGCCAGGGAGCTCCTCTTCTTTTGCTGCTTCTTAGACACCGGTGAGGGGGAACAGTATGGGGCAGAGCCCAGTGCCAGTGGTGCACTCCACACCGAAGCTGAAGTGCTCGGCATGGGGTCCAAGTGGGAGAGCTCCCATGGAGGACAAAGCACAGCCTCCATGAGGCAGGCCCTCAAGTGGATATCCTGCTCCTTTTGGATTCTAGGTCGAAAGCTTTTAGATTCGACACTTGTCCTTTCTATGGGATTCCCCCCAAACACTTCAAGCAGCTGTCGTGGGGGTCACTGATGTCAAGCATGGTTTGAAGCTGGGAGAGCAAGGCATGCCCTGCTCCAGGACAAGTCCCAGTCGGGACTCACAACTATCAACTAACCTAACACTTAACTTAATGGCTGGCTAAGTACCTACAAACTATACACAAAGAAGATAAAGGCTGAAAGGAACCGCTAATGCTCTTGCGATCTGCAAGACAAGGTGCTCCAACCAACCATCGTGTGCGGTAAGAAGGATCTGAGAAGGCGTAGGGTCGGCGGCGCCTAACAAACTGACGCATGAGTGCAGCATTCAAGGGGGCACCACAGCTGACCCTACAGATACCGCTAAGGCAAACGCCTCCAACAACTGTGCATGTGGGCACACACACACACACACCCTAGAATGGGATTGACTTGTGCAAGCACTTGAAGAAAAATACAGCTCAAACAGAAGTTATGAGCAAAATTACTGGGTGATTACTCAGTGAATCCGTGGCCTATGGGATGCAGGTATGTGATCTCACTGGTCTTTTCTGGCCTCAAAATTTATGAATTTATACGAACACTTGAGATCTTCCATGTACATATGCAACACTAGATCAATTTATTAGACCTAGAAGAGTTTGAGGAGGCAGCCCTGGCTGTGGGTTCCCCCTCTGAAATGTATCGTCTCCCAAAATCCCACATGCAGATGTAGCCTGAGCGCTGGTTTTAGTTTATTTAGTTCTGATAAGAAAGGGGAGTCACATTAAATACATTGATCAAATTCTATATAAAGACTTGATGCTGTTTTAGCACAGATCAAACTGATGGGTTAGGGTCAGGGCCATGTTAATGAGCAGGAAGGACTATCAGGCAGGCACTGAAGAATTTACCCCTTCCCACTTTATAATAAATATTCATACACAACTTGCCCTGAACATCTCACTGGATCCCCAGCTCCTCTCCCGCATGAAAATAAGCACTATAAGTGACCTCCAGATGTGATGGATCTTTTCCTTTGTCTTTGGTCTCAATTGAGCTTCCCTGGGAAATGGACAACATTCTGGGCACTACATTTATACCCTTAAAAAACAAACAAACCCTAATCAGTCACTGAGACCCCTGACCTATTTAAATCTGCATTACCAGAGTAAGAGAGGTTCATCAAAATCTCTCAAATTGAAATAAATCTAGCTTAGTAAAGATCCTTTTCCTAGCACCTTGCTGGGATGTGCACTATTATTTAGCTCAAAATTACACTTGTACAGTAGCCAACCTCAGTTTGTGGTGACTTGAAATGAGATTTATGGGAATTAAACTGAAATGAACAATTGGAGCATCGGTCACCAATGCCAAATATTCTTTGTTTGAGATTATAATTGGAAGCCTACAGTTCTAATTCACAACCCCATTAGAGTAGACCGGGGTAGGCAACCTATGGCACACGTGCCAAAGGAGGCGCACGAGCGGATTTTCAGTGGCACTCACATTGCCCGGGTTCTGGCCACCTGTCTGTGGGGGCTCTGCATTTTAAGTTATTTTTAAATGAAGCTTCTTAAACATTTTAAAAACCTTATTTACTTTACAAACAACAATAGTTTAGTTACATATTAAAGACTTATAGAAAGAGACCTTCTAAAAACATTAAAATGTATTACTGGCACGCGAAACCTTAAAGTGAATAAATGAAGACTCAGCTCACCACTTTTGAAAGGTTGCCGACCCCTGGACTAGACACTGAGGGCACTATGTTTTCACCTGCAAGTTTCAAAAATCTCTTAGGTCGCAATACAATTGTAATACAATTCATATATACACAGCACCTTTCATCTCTAAATGCTTTACAAACTATGTACATTCACAGCCTCTGAATGCAGCCAACTCCAGGGTGCCTGTCTGCTAATCAGCAGATAAATTAATGCACAGCACACTCAAGGTAGAAAAGAAAATGTTGGTCAAGGAGATCAGGGAAAGCCCCTTGGTCTTCAGGCATCAGATCTTTAATATGTACACACAGCAGATGGGACCTTGTTTTCAAGATTAAACCCACACCATCATCCCAGAACTCTCACAGTAAACCCTTCTTTTCCTCTGTGGAACAATGGTGTTTCTTACATTGGACTAATCAGGAGCTCTGAAAAAACCTTCCAGCAATGAACAGATGGATCTAACAATGATCTAGTTACGAAAACAGATCAACATTTGAGACTTGTTTTTTTCCCAGAGGTTATCAAGGGGCAATTATACACAGTGCTCAGTAACACTGAAATTTGACAAAGGAATAAGTGGGGAAGAAGTGGAGGGGGAAGAATTGAGTCCACGTCTACTATGAAGTGTGTGTTTGAATAGACAAGGCTAGTTCAGACCTTGAAACTGGATTATATTCAGTCTCCTTTCCACCCATTTCCAGATGTTCCTAATTTTTGGCTGCAGGATGCCCTGTGCTTTGAGCCCGATTTTTGCTGCTATATTGCTGCATCATGCATAGCACAACATATCACTCTCAATTATGGTAAGAAAAAGGAGTCAAGAGGAATCCTGAGATCATACAAGGGTGTGAGTGTGCCAAGCAAAGAGTATGTCTTGACTAATTTAGTACAAAATTCCACTGGGAACAAGGCAGAAATATCTGATGTTATTTTGTATCACAAATAGTGCTGACTGCTGAGAAAATCAAAGGCCACCCTAGTAAGAACCAGATATAAAACTTTTTGAAGAAGTTTAGTCTGAGTGCATCTACACCTAGAAAGTCTTACATTCTAGGATTTTTTAAAAACAAAACAAGAAATCTCACATGCTTAAAAGGCTTAGTCAGGTAAAGTGACTCATTGAGCCTTTCAGACTGATTTAGAAAAATTAGTGTTTTGTAACCTTTTACTTAGAACCTCTAATCTAAAATGAGCAAAAACACATTCAAAATTATATACATAGGGATCACTTCCCTTTCATTGAAACACATCCGTATTCAGAGTGAAAGTCAAGTTATTTTGAACAGCATTATCCAACAGTCACCAGGATGGGACATGAAGAATAAAGTTAAAGTTATAGGGGGAAATTTAGGGAGATGGTATGTAATTAGCAAAACTGGGATCTAGCCAGGACACTAGTTTTAGGAAAAGGTTCATGGTACCTTTAATAACCACTGAGGTTATCGCTTCTCGTTTTCAGTCTTACCCAAAAAATGGCACCACCTGCAGAAAAGTGATCCCCAGTACCGAGTGCAAGTATAGGTAGGAAGCTTGTACAGTATTATGCCAACTGCACAGATACCTCTGTCAGTGATGAATTAACTAACACCCAATATTGACCAGCCATACAGGTTAAATTTCCAACTTTCCACAACTTTGTATATAATTTCTTCCAGGTGTCTCTTCTCTCCCCACACCTTCTCACTCACACCAAACCGCATAGCCAATTTACAAGGTTCACAGCAGGACAAGGCTTCTGTGTTGGTTTTGGTCACAGTGCCATCACAATTGGACATTGTGAATTGGAAGCAAGCAAACTCCTCTCTCTACTGATGTCACAGCTTTAGTAGAATGTGGTACAGATTAGAGTCCCTGATTGTCACCACGGATCACCAACTGCTTGGAGAACCCATCAGAACTCAGTTGACAATTCTGTCAATGCATGAGGCAGAGCAGAATCTTACTAAAGCAGATATGTTGAGTCACTTTTCTGATCATGAGCACACTTGAAGCGCTGCTTGTGAAACAGTCTGGACAAGGAATAAACACGTTGAGCTCGGTCAGACGCTGATCTGTAGCTAGTAAACAACTCAAAGGAATTAAGACAAACATTTTAGAAAAGTTTTAACACGTTCCAGGCCATGCAGTTGTGCCCCCCCCCATAGGAAAGTTTCAAATTCTAAAGTATTTGGCCTTCGGTCTTATGCGTCACACCACTCGCAAGCCAGCACTGAATTACTACACATCATTATACTATTGGTTAGAAGCACTGAAGTGCTAGAAAAGTTTTTATAACATAATACAATAAAGTATGGGAACATTGTATTAAGAGCATTAGCTTTGAATTAGCATTTGAAGGAACTGTGCATTAAGCTTGGATTAACTAATGCATAATACTGACATTGGGTTAGATGATGTTACTTAGCAATTTATTGGACAAATGAAGTTCAATTTTTTTTATTAAGCACATTCCACGGTACAAAGCTTTAGATCATGAACAATATCTGTACAATTTAACAGTTTCAATCAGCTGTTCATACACAAACTTTCCAAACAGGTCATTGGCAAACATAATTACAAGTTAGAATTAGACTATCCCAGTGCTTTGAAACATTAATATAGCAGTAATGTACAATTGCTCAATTATGGTTAGCAAAACAAAGTCCAGAGTGCAGCCAGGAGTCCCAGGAGCCAAGTTCCTTGGGTGCCAATCACAAAGTCCACTGCTATGTTACACAAAGCACAATCAAAGAAGGTGAGACTGCATGTTCAAATACCATTATCTCCCAAGGAAAAACATGAATTTAATCTTACACATGCATAAAAAAGGACTCCATTCTTCATAAACAAATAGCTTTTTCTTCAGGGCTGCAACTGATGTCTTTTTTAAAAACAGTTTAATATTAAAGCTATTAGATGAAAAGGATAAAGTAAGCCACTTTCACAAACTACTGTCAAGCTTACCAAAAGGAGATCTTACAGACGCTTATCAAAACATGATATCTTCTGTACTTCATGAGGTTTGATGATCTCAAAGAAATAAATATCTTTGTAGTAACAAGTTAAAGGGAATTTCTAACAAACACTGATCCCAACAGCTCTCTCTCAATGGAATAGAGGACTAACTGTAAGTTGCACTTTTCTAACAGTTGAGTAACATCTGATCTGCACTTCACTCTGAATATGCCTGACAAAGGTGGATGACATCTAACCATAGCTGTTGCACTGGAAGTTTAGTATTAAATCACTGGTCATCTAAAGTGTTACCGACATTCTTTAACTCCCCTTAACCAAAAAAGGGAAAATCTGAAACCAAAAAGTGCTGCCAACAGAAAACGAAATACACAACAAATGATAGAGAAATGACTGGCTACATATTGGAGACAACATATTTCTCCCCCAGGACAATAGGTATATCTTACACACTCTTGGTTTTAGTGCATTTTCAAACTAAGCATTAAAGAAAACTACTGAAAACTGTAGTCATACATGGCAACTTAATAGGACAACACTATAAAGATGGCATTTATCAGGGTCTTGCTTTCACAAAGAAAAATATGATTAAATAAATGTGACTGTATAAATTAGAGACAGGAGAACCATGACAAAGTAAGAAGGAACTACTAAGACATTTCCTAATAAGGACATACTAACGAAGAGAAATATTGACCATGGCATCACAACAAGGTCATAGTGTAACAGCTATGGGTAAGTGATTTTAAATTCAACTTTAAGTCTGGTCATCATAGTACTTCCTTGAAGGGGCCTCTACCCCACCTCAATTGTTACAAGTTACATATTTAAATAAATTTAACTTTAGCTGATGGCATTTTTTCCATTGAGCAGCCAAACTAATGCTATGGAAGGACATCTGTAGGCATGTGTGGTAATCTACCAATTTAAAAAAAAAAAAGATGTTTTGTAAATACTGCGGCACAAAATATAAGATACAGAACATAAATTAAACTTTTTTTTAATTTTTAAAAAGTTTAGAAATTACATTTTAAAATATGTAGTTCCCATTAAAAAAAATCCTAATGAATACTGAAAACTTCCTTTTGCAGAGAAATATTTCATATTAATCCCTTCAGTGCCAGTAGTTAGAATGTCCTGCTGCCAAGTGCTAACACATTTTGTATTAGTGTGTAGTGTCAGGAGATCCTGACTTCTAGCACCTGGAGGTTAAACTGTTTCGTACATTGTATCTACATGCTTATACAGTATTTGAAATTCTGAGGCAAGCACACATGGGAAGATTTTACGGTACCAAACATTAGGAAGGGTAGGACGGTTGTATTACAGGGCACAGTTAAAAGAAAAAAAGACGGTGCGATACAACTAGTTTAGATAATCTAGCCTGATTTACAGGTAATGTTTAAATTAAAAGAAATTATTGGTGCAGAAACAAGTAAACTGTAATCCAAAAATATTACTGATAGATTCAGAAATATTTCTAATAGTCCAATGTACACCCCTATCAAACAAAACAGGCTCTGAATTTGTCAGGAAGTCGAAAGGAGCATGGTGACTTTGAAAGCAAAACTCTGTACATTCTGGGTATGTGTTTGGCACCCAAATTTCACTGGAGAATATTTTTCTTTAAAGTCAGACAAAAGTGCAAAGCAATATAAATTAGGCCAAGTCCTTTCTTGACTTCTGATTTATTTCTGGAAAACAAGCCATCATAGTTCAGTTTATATGGACAATTTACACATGAAGCTTTGGATTTTTCACTGCAGTGAAGGGCAGGCTTCTGATTTTCATCTGCTTGAAGTCAGTGAATTTGCAGTAAATTCCTTAGAGGAGACCACTGGGGATTGAAGGGGAGCAGGAAAGATTAAGAGAGATACAGAATTGTGCTGTTTTGCATCTACACAGCATCTATAACCAATTCTGACTTTAGCTGCGAATCAACATCTTCAGGCATGTAGTAGCCAGATATCCAGTAGTTCAAGATTGTGGAACCCTGAAAAAGATAAAGACAAGCTGAAACAATGGAAACTATAATCAGGCCAAATATAATCTATTATTTGTAGACATATGTCAGAAGCTATTTGGTATCCACCACAGAACAACACCCCTAGGCACTCTGAGCGCACATGAAGGCATTAGCCTGCTAAAATAAAGAGTCTAAGTATGCCAATCAGTATAGCACAGACTCCTTAGAACAAAAGTGCTAAAGGGACCAGCGTTCCTTTAGAATGATGCAATCAGTACAGGGTACATCTACACTGCAATTAGACACCCACAGTTGGCCCATTGATCAGGGTCTCAAGCGCCTACATCGCAATTAAAGAGAGCCTTAGCCCGAGCCCTGCAAGCCAGAGTCAGCTGGCATGGGCCAGACACAGGTGTCTAATTGCAGAGCAGACATACCCTTAGAGGTTCAAGAGGTGACAATACCACCACTATAGGGCATCATTTTAATTCTATTGATTATGGAACCTGGACCATACTTTAAATCAGATTTGTAAACGGATTGGGATTTGCACCCTTTTAAGCTTTTGAAAATTCGGCCCGATAAACATAGCAACTTTGAATTAAACTGACCTTTTCCTTACATGTGATATAAAACAAAAGTCTTTGCTAGGTCTTTAGGGAAAGACTGGCAGGGGAGGAGGAGAAAGTGTAGTAGATGGCACAACAGGCCTCGTTCAAGGTTAAAACTTACCTTAAGGAATTTCAACCTACTCTTAACACACCTCAGGAAACAACCCTCCTCTTCTCCACACCACACAACACTATACAGAAGTCACCTAAATATTATCCATTTTCATTACAAATATACATACGTTATATCTGGTTGGATTGAATTTTTAATCATAGGTCTAAACAGTTGCATTGGGAAAATTGGCTTGTGAAACCATTCACTTTTTTTTTAAAATCAATCTAACCATGTAAACTATCCTTTATTCTATTTTAATAGGACTATTAAGTTCAGTTACTTGTTATATTTATACATGAAAATGAGACTTAATGATCTTGAGAAATGAGCCCACAAATCAGATAGAATATTTCCACAAGAGCTACCTTTTCACACAGTTATATGATTACACTGTTTGATTAAATAGCTTTTCCAAACTGAAAATTCTTACTGTAATTAAGCTTAAAATAATTAAATCTAAGGTTAAATTTCACTTTCCATTCCCAAAAAACATGCTGCAGACTTTGATGAACTGCTCTATTCATGAGACTTTCATAGCTGAAGGTTTAAAACATCTTTTTTCCCCCAGTGCTTAAATATAAGAATATTAGACTATCATATGGTAACAATTTTTATCATGTTACAACAAACAAAAGGAATTCAACAGAAGGCAATAAAACTTTCTTATAACCCCCTGCCAGTGCTGTCAAAAATGATTCACTTTGAAGAGGCATACACATTCGGAGACTTATAAATATGGGTACAAAGCTTCTTTTGAGAACGCAGAGACATACAGTGTTTGGGAGCATATACAATTGTTCCATTAAATATAACAAAATACTGGATATTTTACAGTGATATATTTTATGTAGATTTGTTTTTGATTTCTGATTATGAAAAAATTCAGGAAAATGACAGTGTGGTTTCCAAGAAACAATTACATAACTACCAAGACTAGTCAACTACAAGGATATGCAGCTTTGCATGTTTTCAGTTCGCTGTGTAATAGGACAAGTCAGACATATAAACTGCTCCAAACCGTGTTAAATGTATGGAATCTGCAGGGAAGTTGCTAACAGTGCCAAAAACAGTTCATTTTGCAGCAACAAATCTTACCGTAATCAAAGTGAGTTTGCAAGTGAGGGGGCAAGAGAAAGAGTGAAAATAAGTCATGAGACTGGTGCACTGCTGACCAAATGGACTAAAATGCATAGGAGTGGATTGAAATAAACTACACTGGACTTTTAGATGCCTATGTATTTATACTTCTGACTGGCATGAAAAATATGATAGTGCTTCCATGATTGGAAGGTAATATAACCCTCCCAATCATATTTCAGCACAACCTTTAAGCCATTCAAAACTATCTATACCTTGTTGTGGGGAAAATATGTAATTGGTACATGTCAGCTGGTGGATTGTTTTATTTTGTCACTAAGAAAGTGAGGTTTTCCCACCAGGTAGATTGTTCTAAAGGCTTCAATCAATCAGAAAAAAGGAAATTGTTTGGGGAGGGTGTAAAGCACATGGTTAGCATTTGCTGTCTCCCAAATAATGACCCATGAAACCTGTAATATGAAAGTTGTCCTGTTTATGGCGAATGCAATTCCTTTAGGCTTGATCCAACTCCTATTAAAGCCAATGGTAGTTTTTATCCATTTTAACAGGAGTCTGATCACATCCTTAGAAGCACAACCAGTGGCAACTTTAGGTAGGCCAACACCATCACTGAAGGCACTGCAGTAATATTGCAACAATTCAAACAAATATGAATTTTCAAACACTGTAAGCCATAGGTGGGCAGTGCTGAAGGAACTAGCTAATAGGGGCTCTGAAACTGCCCATTCTCCTGGCCAGGCTGACATTCCTTTTAAGCTTGTTACCGACTTGGTACACAAAATGAATTTAGCAGACAGACCTCTGGTCTTTTTTCAGACCTTTGGTCTTCTCCTTTAAGGAGAGTATAAACGGCCAATAAGGGAGTTTTATGCATCTTTTATGCATGCTAACCTTTAGCTGTCTTGCAGCACAATTCTTAATTTCTCAAAGCTTGTTCATGTACTTCTACAGTATCCTTTAGCCAACACTTAACTTTATCTATATTACAGTGTTTAGATGATTAATATTATTTAGAGTGGAAGTTAACAGAAGATAGATGTACTCAAATTAATGAATGGTGTAGGAAAGGTAAATTAGCCACTCCCATTTAGAGACTGCATAATTAAAGATTGTGTGGGCAACCATGAAACTGACATTTCTTAATTCGAGTGACTGATTTGCAACCTAATTTTCTAACCTTTTTAAAAAAAAATTTGCTCATTTCTTTGAGGTTTTTTTTGTTTTGTTTTGGTTTTGTTTTTTTTTAGGAAAAGGGTAAACAATTAATAGCCATGCATTGTCAATGGAGCTTGAACACTGAGCCTTCAGCACTGCAGCACACACTGCTACCCCTTGAGCTACAGGTCTGTAACAGGAAGCAGGAGACGGCTGTTATTCTACAGGGGATGGACTGCTGGCTCCTGGGTGTTGAGGAAGCCCAGCCTACCCTGGCCCTCTTTCTGTCCTCCTCCACTCAGGGGGTTGAGGGAGCTCCAGACCAATCTGGTACCCCCAGAGGAAGGGAAATGGGTCACTGGGTTCAGGTGGATGGAAGAAACCAGCCTCTCTCTCTTTGGAATGTTCATGAGATCTGTTATTAGTTTAATAGGCTGCCAACATTTTCCTGAGGCATGCAAGTGGGAAGAACTTCAATTTATAATGATTTACATCTCAACAAACACAAAATGGAATTTCATGAGGCAAAGAAAAAAGACATTTCACTAACAAGATGACTACCCCCTAGAAAATATCAAAGGTCTTCTGCAAACAATGAAATAACTTGTGGAACTCATGGTTACAAAATATCAAGGCCATGAGCTTACCAAGACTTAAAGCAAGAAGAGACATTTATATGGAATGCAGTGTTGTTGTAGTCGTGTTGGTCCCAGGATATTAGAGAAGCAAGGTGGGTGAGAATTTTTTTTTTACTGGACCAACTTCTGTCGTATAGCTCGAAAGCTTGTCTCTCTCATCAACAGAAGCTGCTCCAATAAAAGATATTACCTCACCTACCTTGTCTCTCTCATTTATATGGACGAGACTGCTCAGTTACATTTGATAGGAAAACACTTTTTAAAAGAGATAAAACCTCATGATTTCGGGCATAAGCCACACTACTACTAATCACCTCTAGCAAGAAAAAAAATTGCCCCATGGGCAAGCTTACTCCATAACTGTACTCTGAGGTTTCTGATCTTCCTCTAAAGCATCTGGTACTGGCCACTGGCATCAGAGACAGGATATTGGACTGTATGGGCTTCAGGTCTGACCTGGTAAGGTAACCTCTGTTTCCAAGTCTCAACATTCACTACTATATATACAGACGTTCCCCGGGTTATGTAAGACCCGACTTACGCAAATTCGCACTGACGGAAAAAGTTCCATAAGCCAGAAATAGCTTTTTCAAGTTGCGGAAATATTTGCGTAATGTACAGGTATACGTTTCCAACTAACGCAAAATTCAAGTTACGCAAGGCTTTCAGGAATGGAACGATTGCATAAGTCCGGGGGTGGGGGGGGGGGGGGGGGGGTGTCTGTAGTATGAAGTGCAACTGTTGGCAACCACATGAATGACATAAGAAAAATACTCCACTGGTCTAGCAAATGGATCTACAGCAGAGTTTTTACCCAATATACTTAGACAACTAAATACATATTGACTATTGCAGAGAAATGGAAACAGTCAAACTTCATGTGAGTCTCTTCTGATGGCTTCAAACTCTTCCTAACATGATGTATTTTATCCTTTTGAAAACATTTTTTTATTACTTGTGGTTATCACAGGGAATTGTCATTTATGATGAATATTTGTCAAAATGGCATACATCTCAGTTTACTGGAGACTGATGGGCAGTGCTGGCTAGTCCCAGAAACAGAAAGATAAAAGCCTCAATGAGGAGCACAATCTAATTGAACTCTAAAAGTTCATAGAAAGTTGTGACCTGTTATGTGCAAGAATACTTTTTTCAATGTTACTGTAATTTACAGGTTTCAGAGTAACAGCCGTGTTAGTCTGTATTCGCAAAAAGAAAAGGAGTACTTGCGGCACCTTAGAGACTAACCAATTTATTTGAGCATGAGCTTTCGTGAGCTACAGCTCAAGCATGCCTCCATTATATAACAGTTTCCACATGAAGCATTTTAAAGTGCTATAGATCATTAAGGCTCACAGCACCCAAAGAAGGTAAAAGAAAATCTTGGCGTACAGGTCACTTTATGTTCTCTGACAAAGGGCAGATCTGCTCTGCAAAAAATCTCTCATCTCCATACTACTAATGTAGAAAGTGGCATTATGTGACATGCCCAAATTCACACAGAGTCAGCAGAACAGCCCAGGAAAGAATCTGAGTCTGGAATATTGAAAAATGCTTCATGTTGGCCTTACACTGCTCTCCATTGAAATAAAGGGTTAAACTCACAGCAACATCAGGACAGCTCTGAGTACTTCTGAAAGTCCCAACTCCCAGTGCCCTCGGTCTAGTTACTGGATCTGAGGTTCCTCACACACACTACGTGATAAGCTTTAGGCTCTGAAAGACTCCTCCCATTTCTAACCAGAAAATGTGCAGGTAGGAGGCACAGCATACTTGCCAAAAGTATCTAATAAAAATTCTGATGGACAGTCGTTAAAATTAATGGTAAAAACATAGGTTATTTTTAAATTGTAGAAACTTTTAAACTGTGTGACAGTTTAGAACCTTTGGTTTAACATCACTCTCAGCAAGGTGGATAAAAATTACTGATTTTTTTTAAAAAAAATTTAAATTGATTTTTTTTAATTTAAATTGGATTTTTTATGATAAAATGCTTTTTGAAGGAAAAAACCTATCTAAAGATAGTTTTAATTAAGATATACCTTTGAGCTATAATGTCTCAACATGGAATAGGGATAATAAATTCTAATTCTATAGTATGAGACAATATATTCATGTAATGTTTAAGAAAAGTTTTGTAAGTGAGTTCCAGTAGTTCATGGATTAGGGACTCAATCTTATGGGGTTCCAGGGGCTTCTGTATAGATTATTTATGTTAATCTTTCTATCTACCCAATGGGACTCAGTGCTCAGTCTAGAAGATAACACTGCAGTTCTCAAACTGTGGATTTGTGTCTCCAGAGATAACATGCTTGTTAACAGCAAAAATGTTTTTAAATAAATAAAATAAATAAATAATGTACAGAGGTGAGAAATAACAGACCTCCACTCTATTGTTCCTCTGCAAATTTGTGTACACAGAGTCAAACCCTTACCTCTCTCTAAAAGTGCAAAGTTTCAAAAAGTTCAACTAATACAAGATTGCTGGGGGCGGAATAGATCTGGACAAGGAGAGGAAGTCTGGAGATAAATGTGAGAAGGGAGGGACAGGCAGCAGAAACAAAAGTGAAACTGTTTGAGAAGCATATTCCAGAAGTCTTGAGGTCTCTCTGAGTGTAGGCTTCATTGATTTGAGAACTCCCATACCATTCTCTCACTAGAAAGGAAAACCTATAATGGCAGCAGGCCATAAAAGAGACCCAGTTTGGGAATAGTTTAATGAAGTTCCTCTACCGGTGGGTAAGACAGGCATGCGTGCAAAACACAAACAATGCAAGAAAGAAATGCAAGGCCTGGTTGCCTAAATGAAACAACATCAGGAGAAGTGTTCCTTCTCAGGAGGAAGCTGCGTTGAAGGTGATGAAAAGAGCATGTCTGAACATGCAGGATCTTCAGGTTTGTAAACTTTTTGATTACATACTGCTTTCTTAAGGGCTGCCTGTCTTCCTTCTGGATTATTCTCAAATTCTCATGTTTGAAGAAAAAATATAGTTGTTACTCTCCGGTACTATCATTTTAGATGCAGTTGTGATAAATAAAGAGCTGAAATAGGCACATCATCTTCCTTTTACAATTTCACCTTTAAAGTAGTACCGAGTGTCAGTGAATGCAATGAGTAATACTAAATGAGCAGCAGTATGGTAATAATAATTAAATAACTGCATTGACTTATTATGTTCAGGAGAATCCATCCTCAACATACAGGATTCTGAAGACTATCCACCTTCAAGATCACCATCACTTTCTATAGTGTGTTAGTCACATCATGTATGTCACATAGCCACAGTATATCACCTGTAGCAAAAAGGAAAACAAATCATCATCTAGAAACAACCATAGATAAGTTTGTAATAAGAACCAGCAGATTACAAAAAGAGGTAACTGATGAAAAAATTGCCCAGTTTGTTTATGTAACAAACTCTCCTTTCCGTATGATTAAGAACCCATGCTTCATTAACATGGTTCAGTCATTAAGACTAAGATACAGTCCACCCAACAGAGCAGATGTCACAGGCAATTGCTGGATGAAGTGTATGAAAAAGAAACTGAGCAGTGTGCAAAAGGTCTAGGGGGTAAAATTGTTAACCTGAGTCTTGATGGGTGGAGCAATGTCCACAATGATCCTGTTGTATGTGCTTGTGTGACAACAGAAGAAGGGAATGTCTTTCTTACAGAAACAATTGATACATCAGGAAATGCACACACAGCAGAATACTTACAAGAAGTAGCAGAAAAAGCTATAACAAACGGTGAAAAAAAATTCAAACGTCTAGTACGCAGCTTGGTCACAGACAATGCTGCAAATGTATCCAAGATGAAAAGAAATTATTTAGAAGAGTGGAGAGAGTCCCAAGCTAATAACATACGGTTGTAGTGCTCATTTGATGCACCTCCTTCAGACTTCAGTGTTCCAGAAACTAAGGCTAATGTTGAAATTGCAAAATACTTCCATAACAACCACTTTGCAGCAGCTGCTCTGAAAAAATTGGGAGGAACCAAGCTAATTCTCCCACAAGACATGCGATGGAACTCAGTAGTGGACTGTTTTGAGCACTAGATCAAGAACTGGCCTAATCTGATGACAGTTTGTGAACAAAATCGTGAAAAATTAGATGGCACTGTCACAGCCAAAGTTCCTGACATTCGGCTTAAGAAAAATGTTGAACACATGCTGACTACCCTGAAGCCTATTTCTGTAGCCTTGAACAAAAGGCAGGGAAATCACTGTTTTATTGCTGATGCTGTTGAAATTTGGAAAGAACTGAGTGAAATCTTAAAAAGAGAAATATGCAATGACAGAGTTAAATTACAAGCATTTAAAAAAAAAGAATGAGACAAGCACTTATCTCCAGCTCGTTTTCTTGCAAATATTCTCAATACTCTGTACCCGAGTCAAACCTTAACTGCTGAAGAAGAGCTGGCTATGACATGGACATCCAGCGATCATCCCTCCATAATGCCAACTATAATAAACTTCAGAGCTAAGGGTGAACCATTCAAGAAATATATGTTTGCTGATGATGTTGTAAAGAAAGTCACACCAGTGAACTGGTGGAAGTCACTTAGGCACTTGGATTCAGAGACTGTTGCAGTGATAATCTCACTTTTAAGAGCAGTAGCTTCTTCTGCTGGTGTAGAAAGAATGTTTTCTTTCTTTGGACTAATTCATTCCAAACTGAGAAATCGTTTGGGACCTGAAAAAGCAGGAAAGCTTGTTTTTCTTTTCCAGATTATGAACAAACAGGAAAAGAAGGTGAAGACGACTGAGTTAGCTGCAGAAGCCAATATATTAAGTTTCTCATGTTGATCTGGCTGACAGTCTATTTAATTTTTGTTTTGTTTTTTTAAATTTCATTTAACTATTTTAGTTCAAAACAAAAACAAACCTGATTTTAAAAAACTTGAATGTTTAACTAAATTTAAAAATTCATATGCTTGTTTTGCTAAAATATTATATGTTTGCTGTTGAAGAAAAAAATCTAGAATACATAATGTTGTTGTTTTAGTTAAATAAAACAATTTAAATGTCTGTCTGGTGATGTTCTCTTCCTAATACAGCATGGCAAGAAAATCCTCCAAATATTAATGATTAACCTGTTGAATTAGAGATAGCTCATCTCCCAATGGCTTCATAAATATACGCTTCAATTACCTTTGGTAAATGCAATATCATTTTCTGATATAGCTGAAAAACTAATCTGAAGTTTTCAAAATAAATCACTTAAAAAATTTACAGTGTGTGCCTTCTAAAAAATTAAACCTACATCTATCTCTGAGTTGTGAAGAAAATATATTAAGGTTATAACAACCAACAAGAATGCACTTTTATGTAGAAATCCATGATTAAATCGAGTCTTCCTGACTAGTGGTCTGGTCTTCACTGGGGGGCGGGCAGGGAGGGAGGGAAATCGATCTAAGGCCTGCTCTACACTGGGGGGGGGAGGGGGGGAGAATCAACTTAAGATATGCAACTTCAGCTATGAGAATAGAATAGCTGAAGTCGACGTATCTTAGGTCGACTTACCTCATGTCCTCACGGTGCGGGGTAGACTGCCACCACTCCCGTCGACTCCACTTCCGCCTCTTGCAGCGGTGGAGTACAGGAGTCGACGGCAGAGTGATCGGGGATTGATTTATCCTGTCTACACTAGACGCGATAAATCGATCCCCGATAGATCGATCACTACCCACCGATCCCATGGGTAGCGTACACATACCCTAAGTTACACAACTTCAGCTACGTGAATAATGTAGCTGAAGTTCATGTACTTAGATCTACTTACCCCGGGGTCTTCACTGCGGTCAGTTGACAGCTGACGCTCCCCCGTTGACTCCGCCTGCGCCTCTCACCCTGGTGGAGTACCGGAGTCGACGGGAGAGCGCTCGACAGTCAATTTATCCTGTCTAGACTAGACGTGATAAATCGACCCCCGCTGGATCGATCACTGCCCGTCGATCCTGCGGGTAATGTAGACAAGCCGTGATTTAAATCAAATCCAGCCTGATTCTCAGTTTGAGATTTATGACAACTGAATATCTTTTTAAACAACCTAGTTGTAAATGTGTTGCAAAAACATAGCAATTAGTACATCAACTACCTGATTAGAGGCAGGAGGAACAGCAGTGAAGATGTAGAAGATGAGTTAGATACTATGATGTTTCAGGCTTTAAGCATCAAAGCCTGATACCACAACACAAAGGCTTCCTGATCCAAACAGCAGCAGCATCAACAGCAGATACATTGAGAGAACTCAGTGACAGCTGATATATAAATTACTATGACCAGCACCAGACAAATGACAGTGAATACACAAGTACAGGAGACATTAAAGAGTTTACCTTATGAGGCTGGTAAAGTGCAGACTGTTATCTGGAGATGTAAGTGTATGTTCTGGATGGAGAGCGTGTCTCGTTCTGGGCACTGGGTTGCACATTTAAGAAATCCCAAATCAGAATTGTGTCATCGTGGGAACTACTAATGATCTGAAATTCATCAAACTGGAGTCTAAACACACGTCCTGAATGTTCCTATAAACAGTAAGAGTTCAGTTAGTAGGCCAGGAGATGGATCATCTTTCACTAATTTCATACTCAAACACTCATTTGGACACACAATTGGAAATGAAAGTTTTGACTTGCTGGTCAAGGTTCATACACAGGTCTGAGAAGAATTACTGCTATTTAAATATTGCAGCAAATACAGTGGCTTCAATATAAAGTTTGCGTAGGCCATGAATTTTACTATGAAGTTGAGAACCAGAAAGAGAAAGGCTGAGAGAACTACAAGTAAGCTGGACAGACTGCCAACTGAGAGTAAGCCACTTAAACAAAAAAAGACTGGCTAGTGCTGACAAGCTGTCAGGGTTTATCTGCTGCACAAAAAGATTTTGTATGTTAAATAGTGCTGCTACTTAAAGTATTGTGCAGTCCCCATAAGCTACTTCCTAAGCCATTCCAGGCCCAATTATTTGTAAAAGTAGTTAGTGTTTCAATATGCGCTCTTGAGAAAGAATTTTAAAAGTGGCCCCTCCAGGAACTCTTCGCAGAAACAGCAATACCAAAATGGCACCAGGACTTTGCACTAGTACAGGACCCTGCAAAGGTCTGTGCTTGGCCCTGCTGATCCACCATAGTAAGTGATGGCATTGTACCTTTTTAAAACTGTTTGAAGGACTGGCCAAAGGTGCCATACTGATAACCCAGTGACCAGAGTCTGAAGTGAATACATACAGTAATTGAATTATACTCAAAGAATAAGAGGTCAGTGGAGTCCCCCTGCCCATTCCATACTTGATCTCTATGCCAAGACTGCTGATAAGGGAGCCAATTACAGTTTTTGTGCTGTGGGCTCTTCTGCAGGAAGTGGACAAGCCAAGATCATTTCACATAAGCTATCAAATAGATACCATGTAAGCAATGACTTCTGCTCACTACTGACTCGGACAAGGTTCAAGCTTTGAATCTGGAGATGAAATGCCCTGTATATTCAATGACCAATACAATAAGCTACCCATTTCCCTATTATTGCCATAAATCAAAGCCTTTATTAAATTAAAAAAAAAATCTAAGGTAGCCACTTAAAATATGGTGGTAGTCTTTGAAATGATTAGAGTTCCTATGGTAATCTCACCACAAGATCCCCTCCCTTCCTGCATCTATTCTTTCCATTTTTACAATTAGGAGAAAGGGCTAAGGAAGGCTGATAGTATTCCAAATTGTTTCCATTTAATAGAAGTCCATTTATTTAAAGCCAGTGGTACAATATTTATATGATATTAAAATACCACCCCAGGAACCAGAATGATTTGGATGCAATGTCATATTGATTACATTTTTAGACCATTTGAGAATACCAAGCCAGAAGAGCTTAACAGCTCAATTTTTCTTCTATGCTCAGAGTCAATAAGAATTCAGTGCACAATGCAGCATGCCCAATCCTCTTCATTTGTTCCCAGCTTTGGGAACAGAGCAGAAGTTGCAGAATGCGCTAAATTTCTTATCTACCTCAAGACACTCGATGCATTTGCAATAAAATTTAACATTAAAATGTTCACTTTTGCCAAATATAAAATAGTATAATTGTGCAAAACCCCAAATGTATCAATGTTTACATACCACCAATGTACGCAAGCATAGTGTGCTAGCTGGGGCACGAGGGTCAAGAGCAGCTTGCAAGTCCCAAACTTTAATTTTGCTATAAAATGAAACAAGAGCACAAACAGGATTATTCATTTCTGCATCTGAGGAATATTTTGCATATGAACTTAAAACTGAGAAGACCTCAAACTCTAGCATACTGCCGATGAAATGCTGGGAGAACAGCCCCTGGGAATCTATTTAGGATTACAGATCCCAAGAGAAGGGTAGAATCAAAATAACCAATTCAAGTTGAAAGGAGTTCCTGACTTGCCTTCAACAGACCTATGCTGTTCACTTGAACTACAATTCAGCCCAATACCAGAGGTGACAAGCTAACAAGGAGAATAAAAGCAATGGGATAATCCATGTCCCTGTATAGTTTCCTTGAATTCACTCAATGTTAGGCCATTTTCCTTTACAGGCAGCTCCCTGATGCTCTCATAGCAGCCCCACCCCACTAACTTTAAGGCTCCTATCAGAGAACAGAAATATTACAGCCTCTCTGCTGGACTGTGCTGCTGCAATTTCAAAAGTGTGCGTGGTGCCTCAGAATACAGTTTCAGTGCTGGTGTCTAGTAAAAAGGCAGACAGACCTGTTGGGAAGTAGGGAGTTTCTCAAGGAGTGATGTCTATGGGGAGGAAACCAAGTGAAGTGAAATGTCTATTCACAACAGACACTACTTAAGACAAGCTATTTGCCCATTCTAACCAGCTTGTGCTGTACAGCAAAGCCATATAAACTTGATTAGTAGAATACTTAATTCTGCAGGGACCTAGAGCTACCTACCTACCCCTATGAACAGAGTTGAAGAGCCCTAAAACAAGTTACTGGAAGGAGCTGCAGAATAAAACAGAATATATAATATTCAAAGGCTACATTCAGGATATAGGTAGTCTGCATTATTGAAATCTACAGGAAGTGGGCGACACCCAGGTTACATGTAGATCTGTCATAACCAGATCACTTAGACAGCAGGATGCAAACCAAAAGAGAATCCTCATTATGTGTGTTAGGGATGAGAACTTTCAGAAATATGCTTTACTAGGAGATACATGAATAACTTTCTCAAAGCATGTTTGAAGCACGTACCCGTCATAGGCTCCACTAACAATTCTCTTGTTATCAAATCGGATGCATCGAACCAGTTCTTCATGGCCTTCTAGTACTCTTAAACAGGCACCACATTCAATATCCCATAACCTTAAGAAAACAGAAGAAATGGATCTTTGAGAAACTCTTGTGTGACACTAGCGCTCCAATCCACTTACTCATGCTGCAATTTCCATTTTAATATAATCTTTATTGGTTCTCTGAAAACTAAAACCATACTACATTGCAAAAGAGTACATCTGAGGCCCCTGTACACAGTCCCCAGAAGGGAGTACACTGCAACTCAGACACATTCCTAGTCAGTCTGCCCCACGGAATTGTATTGATCATTTTCGAAATTAAATGCATTTTAAAAGTAAAGGCTGGAAGCTTGTGACTATTTCAATATAAATTAATTTTATTGCTGAATCCATCTCCCTTTTTATTCTGCACATAAAGCCATGTGTATCAGAGGTATATGTAGTAACTGAAATAACCTGGTGCTTTAATTGGACTTCCAATTTCTCCAATGATCTTCAGTTCAATAGACTGTATTAAGATTTGTAAATTACATTTTTAGATGCTGACATAAGCCCAACAGTTTGTGAGCTGCACTTGCTTGAGTATGTGTTATATATTACCTGTTCCCTCCTCAGCAATGGTTGCCTGTTCTAATGTTGACAAGACATATCAAAAGCTAAAAGATTACTGTGCTATTAAACCGTAGGGCAGGTTCAAGAGACCTAGAAAAAAATCCTTTTTTACATTTGCAAATGCACATTCTCTCCAATATGCTGTTAACAACTGTCTTCCACGCACCTAATGGTGTTGTCTGACGATCCACTCACAACTAGTCGATCCCTGTACTGAAGGCATGCAATGCCACGCTTGTGCCCATTTAGAGTACGAACAAACTCACATGTGCTTGTACTCCAGACCTGTGGAGAAAATTAAAAACATTCAATTTTGAGAGAGCTTGAGGTTTTATAAGTTAAACAGAATTTATGTTCAAACTTCATTAAAAAAAATCAGGACTCTGAAGAAGTACTTTGAGGTGAAAGCTGAATGAAAGCTTAGACTGTAAGCTCTTCCGTGGCTAGGACCATGGTGTATTTTGTATTTGTACAATGTGAGTCACAATGGGGCTCCAAACCCAGCTGGGTCCTCCCAACACTGCTATAATACATAAATCTGTTCAAATTGACTAAATCATCATAAATTTAAAATATTAAAAACGTTTAAACTTTTTGTAAAGCAAGTAAGCATTGCTCAAGTAATTTTAGAATTCTGATTGAATTTAAATGTTGGCTGGTTAGTAATCAGATCACAAAATAACCAGCTTCGACACAAAAGACTAGTCTGAATATCATTAACCTATTTTTTACCATTGACATGGCCAACAATCTACCACTTATTGAAGACAAGACCAGACACACTTGACTTGAGGCTGAGAGAAGAACGTTTGGGGGTGGAAACACAAGGATCAATGTTAAATGAATTGTTTAGAATCCTTGTGCATTTTTTTTAAGAAGTTGTACTTAACGTTGTAAAGGGTCTAATGGGTCATTTCCATAAGAATACAGTACCTTTAGCAGGTGTCAGACATAACTTTGCCACAAAAAGCTCTTAGCACAGTTTAAATCAGTTGTGGTTCTAGGGAGGGAAGGATGGAAACATCTTTGTTGTATAGTAAGTCTGGGGTAACTACGATGATCTGGTGATCTTCAAACACAGCATTTTAATCCCTCAAACATGGCAAAATTTGGTTTAGTTGCGGAGAAGGTATGATGGGGAAAGGTGGCTGCCTATAAATTTCATGTCTAGAACAGGATTGCCAATTTATAGAAAACACAAATCATTTGGAAAAAAAAGCACAGAAAAGTACCATGTTTAATTTTCTAGCCAATTTCAAGACCTAATCGTGAGTAGAATTTAAGTTTTTTATAACTTTATGACAGAAGCCTCAAAAAATGTTACAAGTCAAGTTATTTGCATAAAGGCTTTAACATCTAACAGGAAGTGATAGATGAGTGATGAAGAAATAGCCACAGAACTGCTCACATACACATTTGGGAATTGGATTTTAAGCACACATTCAACAACTCTGTTTTTTTGAAGTGGAATTTTTAAAACTTTTAGGCACACATCATTCATTTTGATTTGCAGTTTCCTGAGTAAACAGAGCAGGGCTCTTTCTTCTAACTTACTTTAATGGTCCTGTCACCTGATGCAGAGACAATATACTTGTCATCAAAGTCTACAACATTAACAGCAGCACGATGGCCAACCAACACACGACGCAAGGTGATATCAGTAGGTGATGCCATATCCCAAACAGCAATGGACCTGTCCTTTGAACATGTCACCATTAAGCCATTACTGAAACGCAGATGAAGCACTGCCTCGTTGTGATGAATCAGTGTGTTCAGAACTTCGCCTGTGTTTACATCCCAAACTCTGGTAGGGGGGAAGAAAAATGAAATTTATCCTGAATTAACTGACATGACTACACACATTACAAACAGGAAATGTTCACAATGAAGAGTGGTCTGCTAGTCTGAGGGACAGCCCTCCTCAACCATTTTATCTCTCTGGCTGCCCAAAGTTGCTAAGTCTCATGGCTTGCTTCCAGAAGTCATTTTAACAGACAAAGAGGCTTATGTATAAAGGCCACAAATCAAGCAAAGGCTGACAATGGATTACACAGAGGACTGGTAATGAGATACAAATCTTTCACCTATATGAAAGATGCCAGTTCAAGCCCAGGTCAGTAGCAACTGGAAGTTACTGCCATCCCATGGCTGTCCACTAGTTCATGTGAAACGAAGATACGGTAATCTCTCCTCAAGTCTTAGTGCAATGGCATCCACACCACAAAAGAGACCATAAATGCCCCTCTCAGAGATTAAGAACTGATTGGACATGGAGAATGAAGTCTCCTCCAGGCCAAGGCAACACAGAACACGCCAAAGAAACCTGCAATGACTTTGACTGTGCTGTACCTGGGGCAAGCATTGCCGTCTCCAGGGCTGTCACTACAGCCCCTTTATTAAGCGTTAAAATCACATAAAACTTTAAACCTAAGAATACAGGAACGGCCAATGATCCAACATCAGTATCCTATCATCAGTGGTGGTCAGATGTTTCAGAGGAAGATGCAAGAAACCCTAAATTGGGCAATCATGGAATAACCCACCTAACATCAAAGTTTCTTCCTATCCCAGTCAGATGTCGGCTTATGCTCTGAATCATGAGGGTTTATAGTCTTTCAAAACTTTTGAAATTCAAATCCTACAAGTAGGCAACTCTAAAGCTTGGGGATGCTAGAAAATACCGCATACGGTCTTAAGTTGTATCATGTGCCTAGCCTTTAAAGGCACAGTACTATATTGTTTTGTGGAGTGGTCCTTACACTTTAGTACTCACAGTGGATTATTTGTTTTGAGTGCCCCTGCCCCAGACTTGAGTTCATTATGCTAATACTTGAAGCTCACCTCACTGTAGAGTCTGAAGATCCAGTTACAATGACTCTCTCGTCATACTGCAGGCAGAGAACGGACCCAGTGTGCCCTGTTAATATTTTCAAACATTCCAAGCTTGTTTTATCCCAAATCTGTCAAAAACAAAGATATGGGTCGAAATTTTGGCTTTCACTATTGTGAAGAGAGGACCAGTGGTGGCAAAGAGAATCAATGAGCATTCCAGCATGCACATTCTCCTGCAATTTCCAGGTGTGGACCTTGAGCCTTCATTTCTGTTTTTATGTTCTCCTGCCTTGCCAAGGAGACAAGCACATGCTGGACAGATCTATGAAACTGCCAACCATGAGACAGAAGTTTGTCATTCATAAGGAAACATTTTGTTTCATAGGGAAAGAGCAGAAATTAGCAATAATCCAAACCATTAACAAAACCATAGGATGCAGCCAAGCAACGGGGCACAAGCCATCTGTTTACAGTAAATCTGATTTCATAGAAGGTGTTGATTTTCAATCTGGTCAAAATTGCCATGACTGGCAATCCACACCATTCATGAGACAAAACACAAGCAGCGATATGTTACCAGCTTTCCCTGCGAGAGCATGCAAAACATGCCATCCTCAGAAAGTGCTGCACAAACACTGTCCCACAAAAAGACAGGAGAGATGGGCCCCAAGGAAACAAGCAGCACCTGACAGCCTCCTTTCCAAGTCTAAGGCCAAGACAGAGGCAGTGGCTCATCTCTCTAAATAAAGAGGAAGGAAATATATTACCTTAATGGAGTTATCCCTTAGGCCACTGATGATCTTTTCATCATCATACTGTAAACAGTAGACACCTTTGCTATTTTCAGAGCGGCACTGAATTCTTTGCAAATTGTGTCGTCCACATCGCCAGTTAGATTCTATAGTCTAGAAAGAGGAGGGAAACTATTTATACCAAGTGATGAATAAAGCTGTGTATGTTTGTTAAAAACATGATTTCTTGGACAAAAATATGATTGGGATTTTCACCTGGAGTAAAATTCCTCCATGAACCCTGACATATTTGGTTCTTTTGGGAAAACGTACTTTCAATTTCCAATAGCGAATACGTAAAATAGGACTAATTAGAATTATGACTTTTGCATTTTGTCAAGACAAAGCTATAACTTTTCCTCATTGTTACACCCACCAATCTTGCACCGGGATCTCTAATGCTTGACTTAGATATCTTTTTATAATGGGAAAAATTCAGTTTGCTCGTTTAATCAATCCCATCATCTGATATAGGTTACAAAGCCTCTGCTTTTATAATTCATGGACATCACACTACACTCAGTCTCATTTGGGAGGGTGAACAACAATACAAATTTGTTTAAAGTCCAAAATGGAGGTCACATCTGTTTTGAAAACTTCAGCTAATATGTCAAATAGCAAAATATAGTAACTGATGCTATTTTTCTTAGGAACCAACTTTGGGAAATGTTTTTGTTATATATCTCATTTTAAACCCTGATGAAAACCAAGAAAAAAATAAAATGAAATCATGAAATATGGACTGTTATAAAAAATGAAAACTAACTATTGGGAAATTGCCTTTAAATTCTTTATCAGATGTTATCCACTATGTGTTCTTCCTAAAATTCGCTTTTAAGTATGAAGTAATTCAGCCTCTCACTTTGATTTTGTGGTGTACGCTTTGTTGGGGAAATAGAAAATTCAAATCTGGTATATTTTAACAAATAGGCTGTAATCAATTTAACATTAAAAGCAGATTTACGTTCTATCTTTTAATCAACTTTACGTTGGCAAGAGGACACATGCTGAGCCATTTCAAAGAAATCAGGAATCCTGGTTAGAAGATTTATAATAGTAATCATAAAAGAATCAGTGCAGTGGAACAAAAACAAAATCACAGAACATATGGAATCCCCAGATACATTGGGATATTTCTCATTCTTTGTAAACACACAGAAAAACAGATAAGTCATATGACAGATTGCAATGTTTGAAAGAGAAAAAACAGGTGAATGGGAATCGAGTGGTTGATGAACTGAAGATTTGTTCTGGAGATCTTACTTATCGATATCTTGATGCTATGCTCAATTTATAATCTCCGCTCGCCCCTCTAACCTATCAGGGCATTCCTACTGAAGCACCTCATCTCTGAATCAGAGTTCTGAACTACGTTTTGTCCCTCCTTCTGGTTCCCTCCAAAAGCCTGCAAAACCATCCAAGAACAGAACACTGATTTTTCAAGGACAAATCAAGACAAAATTTGATTTTCCAATTAAAAAAAAAACTGCTGTCCAATGGTAGCTCAGAAGGCATTCTAGGGAGACCACATACCTATTTACCCCACCAACACTGTTCCTGAAGTGCCAGAAGGGTACAGTTGGCTTACACAAGATGATATGGTGGTAAGCAAAACAGCAAGCTATGCTTTCAAATCATCCACTTTTTTCCTTGCCCTTTGGTGAAATTTACAAGAAAATTAAGGCAGGAAGCCAGTTTTCATTTTCAGATCAGCAATACCTGTCAGCCAATGCTTCCAAGTTTTTCAAACTGTTGGTCAGCAACTTGTACATTGAGCATTAAATAATTATGCTCTGCTTGTATGTATTGAGTTTTTGACCACCATGCCAGATGTAGCCCTGGGACTCTATTGTAGTGTGCCTGGCAGAGATTATATTGCGCATTACAATATTTGTTTAGGTTTGTTTGGTTTGGGGTTTTTTGCAGGGGGAAGAGGTAGCCATTTAATTTTTGGTTTACAGTATTTAGCTATGTTTGTTTATTTTAAAAGGTAGTATCACCTGCCCACTGCAGGGCAATATCATTTAATGTTCTGGGAAACAGAAGAAAAGACATTCATTTTAAGTCAGTCACTGTTTCTATTTAGTTCAATACTCAAAAATTCAGCATTGGAAGCTACTTAATAAGGTTACCATATGTAAATGTTGGCTACAAATGAAGGAAACTGAAATATTATTTATACATTTGTCTGAGCAATATGAAGCAGTAAGTCATGTGCAGGTGTATATTTTAATTCTGAGAGTAGATGTCATTTCATTTAGACATTATGTGGTGTGGCTACTGTGGGAAAATATTTCATGTTTTTGAGAACCTGTAAAATCCCCTTACACGGCATAAATTTTCAATATACTGGGAAAGTAGCCACGATACACAGAGAATATACAGCAGCATTACAATTGGCAATAGAGTGGAAACAGATGTGAGTATAGAGAAATAACATTTTAGATGACAAATACAGCTGAGTGGGTGGGCAACTTGGAACACCCTCTACGAAGGAGCATGTTAAATACAGTACTTGCAACCAGATAAAAGATTCTTGCTATATGAAATTTCTGTTACTCAAAGGTGAAGCTGACAAAGATTTCACCTGCAACCTCCTTAAGCAGATATTTTAAAATAAATTCTGTGTATGCAAAGTGGGTAGGTATTTGTATGGAAGGCGTTATTACATTTTATGCACTACGGCAAACGTTACGGAATTAATGCTACAGAAATCCAAGGTTTCTTCACACACAAATTACAAAACCTCTGCCTCTTGTTACCTGTAATTTTTATATACATCCCCTCAATAAAGCTTCAAATTATAAATAAAACCTCCTCTAAACTCAGTTCCCAGAACTACAAGCCAGACAAACTTAAATGCTGGGAAATACCAGTTTCCTACAGCATATACACACCCACAGTTTCACACACTTCTATAACCAAAGTCAAAAACAGGAGAATCGGTAGCTGAAAGTACCTATCAAATACACTGTACCCTCACAGGATAATAAACTAGAGGAGAATCTCATCCAACCAGAGCAGATAATTTCAATCAAGGTAATTTGGAATCATTCATTTTAATCATGAAAAAGAATAAATCAAAAGTTGATTTGGTTTTGTTTCCTAGAAAAGCTATCTCCAAAAGTTACCCAGAAAGGAAGATGGAAATATCTGGGATATGCTAGGAAAGAAGCCAGAACATCTCTGATGGCAGGTGTATGACTGGTCATATAGAAGAACATGAAAAAAGGGATGTCTGAAAGAATCCATCTGTTGAACAGTACAGAGAGAGAGAAAACTAATGGGCTTTAACATAGAGGATATGCAAAGAGCGGCCCAGGATAGACAGGGATGATAGAGCCTTGTTAGTTCTTTAAGCAACGCCTGACTGTAGGCAAAGGCTTCAGATTCAGAAGTGTTCTTTTTCCTGGTTAAGCATCACAATATTTATATTATTCATGGGATGTGTTAAAAATATAGATTATTCACCTGCTAAGTTACTGTTTGTTTGATAACACACATATTTGACTTAATTATATTTTGACCTTCATATGTGTTATAGTAAAAAGTGCACTTGGTTCACCCTCACAGGCAGCAGTGAATTTGTATCTCCTGCAGCACAGATAGGAGTCAGCCACTGGTGAAGGGCATGGGGCAGTACCATTTCCATGCTTCCCTGGGGAAACCGTTTTAAGTTCCTTCAGTTTACTTGCTAAAACATTAGTAACAGTTGGAGGGATTTTCCTCCTAGAATATTACAACCTTTTGTGTCAATGGCAGCTGAAAACCTGTCATCCCACCCCTACTCTGAGGCAGGACCAAGTATCCCTAAAACCACCCCGACAGATGTTTGCCAGGTGTTCTTAAAAACCTCCAATGACAGGGATTCCACAATTTCCCTTGGAAGTCTATTCCAGCACTTAACTATCCTTACAGTTAGAAAGTTTTTCCTAATATCTAACCTAATTCTCCTTTGCTGCAAATTAAGCCCATTAATTCTTGTCCTACATTCAGTGGACATGCAGAACAACTGATCATTGTCTCTTTGTAACAGCCCCTAACATATTTGAAGACCTAACAGATCCCCTGGACCACAACAACTTTTTTGAAGACTGAACATGCCCAGTTGCTTTTTTAAACCCTTCCTCACAGCTCAGGTTTTCTAAACCTTTTATCATATTTATAGCTCTTCTCTGAACTCTCTCCAATTTGTCCACATCTTTCCTAAAGTGTCACGCCCAGGCCTGGACACAGTACTCCAGCTAAGGCTTCACCAGTGCCAAGCAGAGTGGGACAATTACCTCCCATGTCTTACATACAACACTCTTGCTAAACCACCCCAGAATGAATTAGCCTTTTTTTTTTTTTTTTTTTTGGGGGGGGGGGGAGGCGGCAACTGCATCACATTGTAGGCTCATATTCAATTTATAATCCACTATAACTCCTTTTCAGCAGTATTATTGCCTAGCTAGTTATTCCACATTTTGCATTTGATTTTCCTTCACTTTCCACTTGTCTTTATTGATTTTCATCTTGTTGATTTCAGACCAACTCTCCAATTTGTCACGGTCCTTTTGAATTCTAATCCTGTCCTCCAAAGTGTTTGTGACTCCTCCTCCCACCATGGCATCACCTGCAAATTTTATAAGCATACTCTCCACTCCATTAGCCAAGTCATTAATGCAAATATTGACCAATACTCGACCCAGGACAGATCCCTGCAAGACACCACTACATACATCCTTCCAGTTTGACAGCAAACCATTGATAATTACTCTGAATATAGTCTTTCAACAAGTAATGTACCCTATCTTATAGTAATTTCATCTAGACCACATTTTCCAAGTTTGCTTATCAGAATGTCAAGTGGGTCCGTGTCAAAAGCCTTACAAAAAAAGCTACATCAAATTTACAGCTTCCCCTCCCATCTACTAGGCCAGTAACCTCTCAAAGATGGAAATTAGATTGGTTTGGCATGATTTGTATCTTGATAAATCCATGCTGGCATTTGTGTATTATCCTATTATCTTCTAGGTGCTTACAAACTGACGAGTAATTTGTTCCAGTATCTTTCCAGGTATTGAAGTTAGACTGAGTGCTCCATAATTCCCTGGGTCCTCTCTGTTCCCCAA